TTGATAATCCAAATACTTTGGATTATTTGAGTATTTGTAATAAATTAGAGAATCAGACATTTTGAACCACAAAAGGACACACCCAAATTAATCAGCTGATGGACAAAATAGATAAGAGGAAGGAAATGAGCAAAATCTGTCTAGCTAAGGACAGCTGCTCTATAGGACACTTACAAGGATGTTTTTATTTGTTTCTGACTCTATATAATGTGTTAGAAATAATCCTGTTCAGAGTAAATGAAACTCTTACGTGGTCCAATCCACTGTCTGTCCTGTTAGGATAGTTTTCATTCTTGGAGAAGTGTTAAATTTGAGGGAGCAGGCATGCCCAGTGCACTGAAAAATGCAAATATAGGGAGAAAGGTGACGTTAGTCTGCGTCTTAAATGTGCTGTCATGTTAGAATTGTCAGTGACTAGTTCCATTTCTAAAATGAAAGGTAGGGGGCTGAAAGGGGTAGGAAGTAAAATTTCTTTAGCTACAATTAATCTTTTTTAATAATAGGACTTCCATTGTAATTATAAGAAAATCTTTGTGCCTACTGGACTTGTGGGTTTGTTGCTTTATGTTTTTTTTTTTTTATTTTATTTCAAGAAACTGTTAGAACACTGCTGAGGTGAGTAAGCTGAAACCTAAAACTGTCTGAAGGCATCACAGTTGAGAGAGTACCTTGCACTGGGCTAGTTCCCCTTCTTAACTGCAGGTTAAGTTTGCTTTGAATTATACAAGGCCTAGGCTAGCCTTAAAAAGGTGTTTCTGAGAAGCAATACGAATTAGGCATCAAATGCTTTAAATGTGTATGAGTTTGAATTAAGAAACAGATTATTAAGCAAACACATTATTTTAATATATGCACAATCAATAGTTGGTGTAAATTGGTTCCTTGAAAGACATAAAGGTTTGAGAAGATATATTAGGTCCCAGAGGTTGATATTGTATTTTTTGTCTGTTGTGCAATAATACAGTTTAAATGGTATCACTCAAAAACAATGCTTTTGATACTTGAAAATATATTATTGGTTATTTTTTCTTACTGTGAAATATTTGCACTGTCTGAACTTTCTGGTTAACTTTATTACTGTTAAAACTTTTTTACTGGTGTTAATTTATTGTGCTCAGTATTTGATATGCTAGTCTCCTGTCTGTGTAAATGTGAAATTTGTCATATTTAAGTGAATATTTTTATCTTCTACACAGTTGTTTATCTTGAGGGCTTCTTTTATTCTCTCTTCCTGAGAATCAGCTGAAAGATGGCTTAAAAAGTTGATGCTTACCTACTTCTGAGTTGTATGCGTTAATTAAAGAAAGAGGCTGTAGTGCACTGTACCTACAGGGAGAAATCTGTCTGCCTGTCAGAGCTGTTGTGGTCAGATTCACCAGGACCTGCTGAGTAGCTGCATCAGTGAATCTAGTGAAGTAAAGCTATTACTGCCTTTAATAATCTGAGATTTCAGTCGTAATTTCTTTGACATTCAGCCCTTCAACTGGCTGTGAACTGCAGAGCTGGACGTGACTTTGGGGAGTCGGGGAGGGACGGTGCTTTTAGCAGGCAAAAGCCAACATGTTACATCCTGTCAGTGTGTTAGCAGCTGTATCCATGTTGGAACTGCCAAGAAATGTGTCAAGATCAATTAAAGTGGGAATGAATTGGTGACTGTCAAAAAGAATACTTGAGTAAATCTGACTACCTCAGTTCTATTTATCTTTGAGTTAAGCTTCTAGCCTGCTGTGAACTTCCAAATCTTAATTAAGTAAAAACATGTCTCAGGTTTTTAAGAGCAAAATAAATATAGTAGGAAGCATAAGCCATTTTTCAGTGTAGAGCACAGCTAGAATTGTAGCTTAAACCAGTCAGTTATGTAGCCTTAAGTGTAATCTTCCTAGTAAAAGTCGGTATTGCTTTTAAATAAGTAAAAAGTTTGCAGGGAGCTACTTTAGGTGTCCTGAACATATTGTGGCAAGTCCATCCTATTGCACTTCTTACATGTGAAAACTTTGAAATACAGCCCCAATGAGCCTTTGTACTTCCACCAGAGTAGACAGGACAGCAGGAGCCCTGGAAATAGTGCTAAGAGACAAATGAGTCTGCTTGTCTGTAGCAGAAATATTTTCAGTATATAATGTCCACAGTTTTAATTTTTAAAACATTCCATGTTTGCTTATGGAAGTAAATTAATCTTGTGGTCTTTTTTTTTACCCCAGTAGTTCAAATCTGTAACATTCCAATTAGGAGTCGAGGCAAGTCATACTTCAAGAACACATTTTTCTAGTGTTTCAGACAATTATGAGGAAGAAGGATAGCTTTTGTCTGGAGTGTGCAGCAACTAAAATCAGATTGAAAAGCAGACTATGCATTCCTCTTGAAATGAGCTGAGGTCTTGGGAGACTGTCCTGACCACAGATGTAGGTTAATCACTGAAAGAGAATTTTGACCCCCATTAATGGACTGTCTGTGGAATGCAGCTCATTCTTTCTGCTGTGCAGTAGTAAACTAGGAAGACTGATGTCATTTAAGAGCAGACATATCCACAATCTGTTACAAGGGACAGTTGTTTTTAAATCTTCCTGTCCTGCAAATCTTTCTGCTTGAATATATTTCGGTAGAGAGGAAAACATATGTCCTTTCTTCCCCATGTTTCCTACAAGTGACTTTCAGCCAGCTGAAAAGATCAAGGTCTTTCCCCTGCAATATTTAACAACCAGCTTTCACTTGGCTGAATGTATCACTCTTCAGGATTTGGGTCTATTTGTACACCAAATAATGTGATCTTACGCTACCAGACTTCCAGAGTGCAAATGTTGCCTTTTTAATGTGAAGCTTACCTTGGAGATAAAACAGCTGTTTTGAGAGAACTGGCTGACCCTGAACATGTTTCCTCTTTTGGTACAGGATGTAAATATAGAACAAATTATTTTACTTAGACCAGATTGAGATATAAGGGCTAATTTTTGTTATTTATGGAGTAAGAATTTCCTTATTTTAATGTGTAAAAAAAGTATGTCATACAAAAGAAAAAATAGTTCATTAATAAAATGTCTGTACAAAATGGATTCTTCTCATCCTTTTCTTTGAGAGCTGACAGTTATTAACTGCCAGAATAAGTGCAATAAAGGACCCCCATTACAACACTCATTTATTTTGTGAGAATTTTAAAAAATTAATACACTTCAAATGTAAAATGTTCTGTATTATTATTAGTTCATACATGACTTAATGAGAAGTTCAGCCTGCCGGTGAGAGAAGGAAGTTCCTGAATTCTCTGTCCCATCCTCATGTATTTGATACTTAAAAATTATGCAAGATTTAAGTCTCTTTCCACTTGAAATGGAAGATCATCATTCCCTGTTTTGTGTAAAGGATTTGGCCACACGATTTCCATTTCAGCTGGAGGAATGTGGCGTTGCCCTGTGGAGCCCTGAGCCATTGGCTGTGACCAGACTGAGCTGGAGGACGTGAGCCACCTTCGCTGCTCTTCAGCAGGGATCAGGGATGCTGCAGTCACTGCTTCTGGTACGCGAGCTGGCTTTGCCAGCTGTAAGACTGAGATTTTTACAATATATTCATAATTACAAGTAATACATTTCTATATATATATATATATTACTCTGATAAATGTGAGACATAACAACATTCTTCTAAAATGCAGAGTGGAGACAATTTTATAATCTAGTGTTGTTTTTTTTTTTTCTAAGCAGTATGTCTGCAAATACATAGAGAGATTAAAAAAATCACTTGCCTTCCTCTCTGCTATTTTGGAAAATCAGATAAAGAAAAAGTAGGTTACTCTTCCTTTTTGTTTGCCTTGTCTCTAAATAGGAGTCTTTCAAAAGGGTATTAAAGCTTATAAAATGTGTCACTGTTCATTTCAGAGATGGCTTTAACTCTGAAAAACATCAGGTATGTAAAGCTACCCAAGTACAGCTATAAGGTTTAAAAATTTTTATGTTTCTAAAATTAACGCCATGGGTAGCAAAATAAAAAAAAAACTGGTATGTGAACCAGTTTGTGTTTAAAATTCAGAAGGAGATAGAGAGATCTCTCTTCCAGAGTGAAAGATGAATCGCTTAAGCTACAGCAGGATCAGGGCACTAGTCTGCAGTCTGGACAGATGCAGGGAGCTGCACTGGTGTCAGTCCAGTGGAGTGTCCTGGTGGAGTTACAGTGCAGCCTGGTTTCAAATGCAATTTTACAGGATCTCTGTGCGTCTATAGCGGTCGTTTTCATGCATGTACAAAAAGTCAAGTATCGCAGAGGGGTTTTCACTGTTACTTGTTACGTCCTCAAAATAACAGCGTTGTGCAAGCTGAGTTGTGCACACATTCTCCTTGTCAACCTCCAGTTCTCCCCTCTCAGCTAGTACCGGTTAATGACTGTGACTTCCTAGTGTCCTGAATTTGAAACAAGCAAACCCTCCTCCATGCCCCTTCTTTCTCTTCTCTGCCGCCCACTAAACTGTTTTATTTATACATCTGCTGAACATTCACCTGTGTCTGAGCACAGAAACAATACCTATTTTTCCAAAGAGGCTTATGCTAGGAAACAAAATCAAGGAAGGACTAAATGTCACAAAATGCAAAATATTATTTGTGTTTGAGGGGAATTATGGAAACCCAACATTTGCCCACGTGATTGCATCTTATTGCTGTCAGACTTTTTTTTTTTTTTACTACAGTTTTTCTGTTTGGATAAGTTCTTCAATTTTTCTGCATCTTGTGCTGTTCTGTAAGTAACATTAGCAGGCAAAATGTTGAGGTTCACATGACAGACCGAGCTCTTGCTATGGAAATTAGAAGGGGAACTGTTTTAAATCAACAAAAAAGTACTAGGCAAATGCCCACATTACTAACTCAAATCAAATAGTGTTACATTGTACATTCGTTTCCTGTTCCTTGGATATAATGTTGAAATCAAAGGCAGATTTTTACCCCCAGAATGAGGATATTAAAATACATTCTCTGTTGCTTTTACAGCAAATGCTGTCACACAACCTGTTGCTCTACTTTATTTGCTGTGGAGTAGACAGAAGTCCTGAGAAGATGAGAAAGTTGACGAGGTGAGAAGAGGGGATCTCTAAAGGTGCTCCGGGTGGTTCTGCAGGCACGAGAGGAAATCCTGGATCGATCGACCCTCATAGCAGATCTTGTAGATGGTTGTAAATAATGGAAACCTAAAAGAAGTGTGTAGCAATAAAAATACTTTTTAAAGTTTACATAAACATTTCAATTCTGTTTATAACGGGAAAAAGTTCACTCTTTTTTATGTTACATTAAATGAAAACTGGAAAACTTTTTCTTTACAATAAAATTTTAACTTGGAGATACCTTACTAGAAGACTATAAATGACCAGTACAAAACCAAAGCAGTACAAACAAAATGAGGGCAATTAAGAGGAGCCAGGGGAAATTCAGGGCAGTGACAGCAGAAGTGCTGTTTTGGAGCTAAAATTTCTATCCAAGGTTTTAACTTACTGAAAAAAATTTCGAATTGCCTATCCCCTTTTCCCTCTTGTGTGCAAAGTGCATATATCTTTTGTATTCGTTACTGATATCTAAAAGACTAAAAAGAATGAAAATGTCTAATGATTTTTCCTGGCTTAAAGGGTTCTTTCCTTTTGTAAGATGTCTGAGTCATTATGTGGTGAAAAAATGAGTCCATGGAATGACTTGGAGCCAAGTGTATAACAGTGCAATTATAGGATACTTATTAGATCAAGTTTTGATTTAAAGTTCACATCCTGTCAAAATGAGGTTTTCTTTTCTCTCTCTCATTTTTGAAAGATAATGTCACTTGAATCCTCTGTATCTAATTTTGATAGGATGGGTTTTTTACAGTATTCATTTAGCAGTGTTTGACCTCTCAGTACTGCTAATGTGCAAGAGGGAATGGGATGGAGGAAGTTCAGCTTTTCTATTGTGTAAACTGAGACAAAGGTTTCAAATTATAAATAATCTTATGTTACTCCCAACAATCAGAAGTCCTTTTTACCTCAGCATTATCGGTGGCACTAAAGCATTGATATCAGCCCATATTACCTATTCAATGTCTATACAATTTTTTGGTTAGGAGCATGCTCTGAACTTTATACTTCAGTATATCTAGTTAATGTTTGCACTGAGAGCTGTATTGCTGCAGGCTGTAATGGTGATATACTGAGAACAAGAAACCCTTTGACCTACAGATTGTGTTTGCAGGCTGACTCTGTGTACGCTCTTCAATCTTGTTTATGGGGACAGGGATGTCTGGGTAGCTCCTTTGGATTATTTTTTTTCTAATGCTGTTTAGCCTGCATCCTGTTCTACTGACTGTGGCCATGAGGAATCAGGCTAAGCTGAGCTCTAATGGTGGCTGGCAATGTAGAAAGAGGTTGTTACAGAAATGAACAAGATAATTAAACAGAAGTAACATGAAGGAGATTATTAATTACTCATCATTTGTTGTTGATTCAGTTTTGTTTTTTTTTTAATCAAAGCACTTACTTATCAAGCATATTTTTCTGTTGCAGAATCTTATAGACTTCAGCTGAAGTCTGAGGACCTTGTAGCTTTTGTCCATTCAGCATCTCATTTTCCAGTTGCTCAATGGACTAGAAGAGAGGAGACTGATTACTTGGATCGGCAGGGATACTGCTGCGATACCAGCACTTATCGAGAAGGTAAACAGCTAATGATGCCTTTGTAAAACACAAAAGGATTTCTTTGTGTGTTAGTGTAAAATATTTCAAAGTCCTCCTCACCTTTCCTGTGCGAGCAAAAGCTTCTGCTACTTTTCTGTTGCGTCCCCCATAGCAGGTAGTGATTAGATCAGCGACGCCGCAGCTTTCCAGAAACGTGGCTATTGATACCGGACCCCTGCAGAACATCTTGGCAAAGGCCACCATTTCCATAAGGCCCAAACGTATAACTGCTGCCTTTGTATTATCACCGAATTTCAGTCCGTCACAGAAGCCAGCTCCCACTGCTACGATGTTCTAAAAACAATTTAGTGTGAAATAGAGGAGGAAAAGAAACAGTCAGGCGAGACATGAGGTTCATCAGTGTGCACTGAGGTTTAAGAAAATCCCACAAATCTTATCTTCACCAGAACAAGGTTCAATATCCAATGGCGGTGAGTTTATGTTATGAAGACGGTGGACAGCGAGTTACTGTTGAACAAAAGTTGCTGAACTTCTAGAAGATTTTTGTAAAGTATCCACTGTTATTCCCACAGGCAAAAATCAAAGCAGCTTGTTTAATATAGTAATATTGCAATCACATAGCATGTATGTAATTAATGTTTTGTTTTTCTGCTAGTTACAAGTTGGGACTTGCTGACCTTTCTGTTTAAACTATTTAAAATATACCACACAGAGTCATGCCTTTCCAGATTTTCTCTGTGGGTCTCTAATTTACACAAGCATGGGTTCTATGTACTGATGCTTCAGTAGATCAAAATTTGGCCCTAATAAAAACATTTTGGTTTGAAATCACTCACTTTTAAGGCTCCACAAATTTCCACTGTATCGGCGTCAAGCACCACAGTAATCCTGAAATTGGGGGTCTGCATTAGTTCTTTAAAGATTTCCCCTTGTTTTTCATTTTTGCACCCTGTGGGAAGGAAGGATGGAAGTTAGAGCATTTTTGCAATGTTTCAGAGTACACACAATTAACTGAAACCTGAAATAAGGTCCCAGGGACCACTTGAGGTTCTGTGGTCCCAGTAACTGGGTGTTGCTAAACAAGAGATTTGTGTGCAGCAGTTCCTGCTGCTGGAAGCCTGTGTAGGTGTATGCAAGTCCCAGGGCATTGACCAAGCATTGCTTAATAATAACACCGCAAAGATTTTTAAAAGCAGATAGCCCCTGATGCAGCTTTCTACCTGGGAAAGCCTGTGTAACCACAAACCTTGCAAAAGATATTTACAAATTGCTTTGTACAGCACAACAGTATAATTGCTGCTTTGCAAATTTAAACGGGTGTAATTGCTAAGTATTATTATAGGAAGCAAATGATTAATGCCCAATTAATTCCCAATTACAGGGAGATCCACAGAACGTTGGCATTGCTGGAACAATTTTGTTACCAATTCCACGGAGGTCATGGATCATGTAATTACAGCACTAGCCCTAGGGATTAAGAGGAATGGTAGAGAGCCCTCAGCAGTAGAGGGGCTGAAGTTTGCTTTTATGCAGAGCCCTTGGCCAGCTGGGCAAAGATTCTTTTGAATGGAATTTCACTTAATTTTCATACAAGGCAGCTTGGTTTCCTTCAGGGAGAGCTCAGCGGTGAGGAGCTGTAGCGTTTTCCAGCTGTGGCTCCTGGAGGGGTTCTGGGCACTTGGTGCTTTTGAGTATTAAAGAGCCTGGGCAATAGCACTCTGGCAGCTGTGGGGTTTCTACCCCATCTCATTACAAACTTTGTGTTTGCTTCTCATTGTTCACAATAATTGATGTTGAGGGATTCCCAGTCTGTTTGAGGTGGCTGTTTCTGGACTGTGCGGCTTTCCAGGAGGACAAAAGCAAAGGGGAAAGCTCTCTGCACAGTCAGCATCACAGCGTGGTTTAAAACAGGGCCAGCAGAAGTTAAATTCCCCCAAAGAAAATGAATATTGCTCAGCTCTCCTAATCATGTCTAGTCCTATCCGTGCCTAGCTGCTCTGCCAGCAACAAATGCCCAGCTGGTACATTTCACTGTTACTGTAACGTTTGTAAGGCAAACGAACAGTATTGCAACAACATTTTTTTTTTTTCCTTGCCTAGCTATGGAAGGATGTAACTTTAATTTTGTCTGACTTTAAACATCAGTGGGTTTTAAAAACTACTGGATGAACTTTCCAAGTCAGGTCAGAACAGTTCTGGGAGCATCTGAGGCTACGTCTTGGCAAGCAGTCTGAATGGGAGGGAGGAACAGAATGTTACTGGGTTTCTTGTTTTGGCTTTTCGGGTTTTTTTTCAAACTAAGAAGTGTGAAGATGGAGAAATTCACCTCAGCGAGTGTGAGCACATATGAGCTTCTGATTACACTTCTCTATTTAGACTGTGTAGTGTATGAGCTGCCGGTGTACTCAGTGTTGAGCTGTACAGACACAAAAGGCGGCTCTTGCCAGCTCCTACAGCAACAGGATAAAGCTGTAATTTTTAAATGGATTTAATTAGCTCTCAGCACTGAAACCCACTGCCAGTTTGGCTCTGCTCTTGCCAGCACCGAGCTCCCTGGAAATAACGCTGCCTCCCTGAACGAGCTGATGTGACACTGCACCCACCACACCCCTCGGGAACCACACAGGACCCATCGCATCCCCCTGCTTCCTCCAGAGGTCATCCTGTTGCCCAGCCACAGGTGATGTTAAACCACAGCTAGCAGCTCCAATTTCCTCTTTGCAATAGTTACCAATGGTGGTTTCACAGAACTTCTCATCAGCCACTTCTTTGGCTATGTTGGCCCCCATAAGCACACTGATGTCTATTTTCAGTTTCTCTCGAATGAGGTCAGATATGAGCTTCAGGCCTTCAGGACCCTCATCGATCCCCTGAATGAAAGACGAATAGTCAAAGTCAAGTTATTAGAACAGGAAAATGACAGCAGTAAAGCACCAGTAAAGCAGAAGGTGCCCTATTGCCTGCAGCTCTCTGGTTTTAATTGGAAGGATTTGGGTCTTATATTCACTAGCATTAGCCATTAACGCAAATGCTCTGGGTTTGTACTTTGATAACTGCAAATTCAAGGCAAGTTCAGGGAAGAAGGTAGCGACAGTCAAGGTAACCCTGCAAGAGGCCTCACATCCAGCGCTGCTGTCCTGAGGCTTTCTTTGATGCTGTATTTTTCCTTTGTGTTAAATTCCTGTAGTGCAGAACCAAACTTTTAAATTAAGCCTACAAGCAGTGGCTTTTTTGAAAGGTCTAAGTATTAATGTGAGTGCTTCATTGGTATTAAGGATACTGAGCAGTCTTGTGGGTTTTAAAGAAACAAGTAAATTTGCTCGAATTTCCTTCCTCTCCCACCCTCCTCCTCTCTGTGTACTGCTGCTTGTGAGATAATTTCTGTAAGTATCAAAAATAAAAGGGGGGGGAGGGGAAGAGCTGGTATTGCAGTCTGAAAACTTACATTTCTTTTATTGCAATTTTAAATTGGATATTTCTTGTAATGCAATCAAAAGAAGAAATGGTTGACTATATTCTTGTGCTTTGCCTCTGGCTTTTTAGTTTGAGATTCTCCTAAAATATTAATTCCTTTTAAGATTATGATAATCTGGTACCTCTAGCCTTAGAAAGAGATTCCTCAGTTCATGCCAGGTTGAAATTGCTTCAGTTCTGCAAAATCATTAGTGTTATTGTGCCATTTTAATGCTCCCAAGAACAGCTTTAGCATGTACTTGGAAGAGGCGCTTTGACCCAGCCCTCTTTCCAGTTAAGAGTTAATTGAGGCTGTAGTCTAATGAGTATTTTTTCTGGCAGCAGCACCAGCTTATGCAGCCTGCCCTCTGCGCATCTTCACCTCTGTGCTGGTCCAAGTGGGAACTGGTCCAGGCTAAAGATGGCTGGCAAAGATGGATACTCTTAGCCTGGCCGGGTTGCCCCATCCTTTCCTCTCTGCAGCCCTGAGAGGCTGGGTAAGTTTTAACTCTTCCAGAAAAAAATGCTCAAGTTTATGCAGAGCATGCAGCTGAGGGCTGGAGCTCCTACCCTTAAGCTGAAACTATTTATTTACTCCATACAGGTTGAGCCTTGTGGAGATGACAGCTTACCTTGATCAGGGAAATCCCAAATGCCCCGGGTTTTATCTGGCCGGCAATCTGCTCGCAGATTCGTCCGATGAATTGATGTGGCAGAACAAACACTAAAATGTCTGCCCCGCTTGCTGCTTCGACCACATCTGGTACAGCTACCTGGGACAAGAGTGACAACCAAAATGAGCACCAGGTAGGAATCCTCACACCTTGCAAGACACCGACATGCCAAAGCCATTGCAGATGGGTTGCAAATGTCAGTTTTAACTGGCGCTGTGGCATAGCTGCTAGCTCTTCACACGAGCAGCTACAGATCTCTTCTGAACAGGAGCAACCTGGGGTGGTGAAACAGAGCGGCTTCTGGCTGTCTTTAGTTTCCATAGGTCACCAGCTGAGAGTTACTCAGGAATAAACTATATTAAAAGGCAGAGATCATCATCATCATCTTTGGGAGGTGTCTTTGTAACTATTGGTCAAGTTACTATATATTGAAAACAAAAACCTACACAACATGGTTAATAACTAGCAAGCTGTATCTTCCTCCAAATGCTGGCGTTACTCAGAACAACAATTCAAGCCAGGCTACAGGGCACTGGCGGGTGAATTTCAGCCTGCTATCACAAGCAGTTTACAATCGGAGAAAGCATCGCCCTTGGAGTGCTCAGCCTTAGAGCAAGTGGCATTGCCAGCAGAAGAACCAGAAGTGCTGCCAGCAGGGCTGGTTCTCTGGGAAAACAGCAAAGAGGGGGCGGAGCAGAGCCTGGCAGTGCTGTACAGGCAGCGCTCCTGTCCCCCAGAATATCACAGAGCAATGCAAGGAAAAAATTAGGTTTGTTTGTTTTTTTTTATCAGTCAGAGATTAAGATATGAGGGTCCCTTCAGGCTTCACTGCAACCAGCTGATTTCTGCTGGTAAAGCCTCAGATTTTGCTACAGAGAGGATGAGGCTGATCTCAAGTGATGATGACAAGCCTGTTGATCTACTAGAGGGCTGTAAAACTAACAGTGACAGGTCAATTGTAACCCAGGAGAGCCATGTGCCAAGCTCAAACCACGGGAGTGCAAATATGCAATTGCAGCACTAAATGGAATACTAAATATAGCCACTCTCCAAGCGAGGAGACCCACCATGTGCAGCATCTTAACTTTTACAACGCAACTGTTCCAGAAACAACGGTATTACTTTATTTAATTCACAAAACACTGGCATTTGGCAAAACCTTGAACACCCAAAAAGCCTCACCTTGCTTGCTTCAGCAGCAATAAGTTATCTAAGCTGTTTAATTTATGTAGAGATACATAATTTGGTATGTTTATGAAAATTAAGTACCTTATCTTTTTGGTGGAATTTACAGCATTATTAATTACAGCAGTGTGTTGCTATCCTGAAATTGCCCATGGGATATTCATCTCCTTGTAAGCCACAGCTGTTAGCTGTGCTGTTGATTTCTTTTTTAGAAGAAGGGAGAGGAGCAGCTTTCCTTTTTTTTTTTTTCATTTTCTTTTTTATTTCCCCTCCAGAAGATGCTGTGTGTTTGAAGTATCTCAGCTCTGTGTAGACATAACTCTAGAAATGGCAGGCAGAGAGATCCTGATTTCTAACAGAAAGGAGGATGGTGCGTTACCAGCACCTGACAGAGTTGAGTGTTTGAAGTTGCGTGTGACATACGAGACAAGCAGAAGTCACAGAAGTGAGTTATATTCCAGCAAACTTAAAATATTGGCGTGAGTTAGGTGGTAAACCAGAATGAAGAATTACTTCCTAATTTTAATTTTGCCAGATGTTGCCTCCCTTATAAAAAATAAAAATAGTTCAGTGATTTTTTATTTTTTTTCAACTTACTACATTCTTGGGTATCTTGTATCCAGGCAGATATTTAACATTTTCATGTTCCTCATTGATTATTTCTGAGAGTTTTCTTCCATTGATGATCTCTTCAAATACCCACATCTTGACAGTAGGATCAAATCTGTTGGACTTCTGGACATTTTTGCCAATGATTCTTGCTATGGCTGATCCCCTTCAAAAAAGAAAAATGAAGTAACTAATAGGAAGCAAATAGTTTTATTGTGAATTGGAAACTCAAATCACTCTAAACATGATAACTCATAAGAGGCCAGTGCTATAAAGCTGGTCAGGTGCTTGCTACATCTATCAGAAAGCTTTATGCACTATCCTCCATCAAAACCCCTCAGTTTGAAAATACAGAAAGTAGAACCAGAGAAACCATAACTGTAATAAGGGATGTAAACTCATATCAAAGATTATAGAGTGGAACTGTGATGTACCATCAACAGGACTAAAAAATACAGTATTTGTGATTAAAATCTGCCTTGCTCCTCAGATAATTATTTTTTTTTCTGAAGCAAATGTAAAATAGTCCAGGTAGCAAATCGGTGCTGAACGGTCTTTGTGTGACTCATCTGAAATAGACGCATCACTATTTCCTACCAATAACTAAACAGTTGCAATAAGGATTTTATGTAAGAGCTAAATCCTCAGAAATTGTTCTGTTCTTAAAACAAACAAACAAACAAAAACCTTCTACCTGAGGGTTTCTCTTTATTTATTGTTCTGATTATCACTATAACAGGATCTGTAATAGTTGCAGCCTGAGGATATGTTAACCATCTGGTTTACTCTTCTTCAGTCATACTGAGCATTTTTTATCTCAGTTCAGATAATAATAGTACATCCCCATCACCACTGCAGCCTTGCAACAATTCACTTATCTTGGCAAGATTAAAAACCCCACAGAAAATATTGAGAGTATTGCTTAATGCCCTTTAGATTATATGGGGAGAAGGGGTGATTATTTTTATGCCTCTGTTCCCTCTTTCCATTTTAATGCTATTTAATCTTTCAAGTGCTGTCCATTTTACTACCGCAACTGAAAGAGGAGCTCCAGTTGTAACGCTCTTGTCCTCTGACCCACTTGTAACACACCTGTGTGAACAGGATTTAGCTGTGGTACATTTTCTGGAACTGATAAAGGTCTCGAATATATCCAAGACAAAGTCCAGGTAGATCTGTGCTGTCAGTAGTTCAAAAGGAAACCACGTTGTAACTGGCCTTCCTTGGTGTCGTGGGTTAAGCACGTGGTGTTGTGGCTCAACCACAACAGATTTGCACAAGGCTGAATTGCTCAACAAGCAATAAAAAAATAAGGGCTTCACCTTAATCTTTAACGATAAAGAAATCTTACTGCACTCAGGTTCCACTTTGCTCAGTGTCAACTCTATACTGGGAGCCTGAGCTGCTGTAATGTTTGCTTTCTAAAAATGGATTATTTGGTTTGGCCCTTTTAATGTTTTAGGGGTGAATCTTTACTGTAAAATAAATCTTATCTTTAAAATGACACGTATTCTGGCTCTCTTGCCCTGCTATCATGAGAGAGCACAATCAAGCTGAGGATGAATTGTGGTTCAGCACAAGAAACGTGTATTAAGAAGAAAAGTTATTTTTATGGATAAACCTGAGATCTGAATTCATCATCCAGGTTGTGCTGGAGACTCCGATCAGACAATGACCTTAGACCTCAAGTCTATCCATAAAAATAACTTTTCTAACTATGTACCAAATTAATATGATTTTTCTGTTGAAAGATGCAGACTCCAGCTCTAACCTCAGAAATCCTGAATGCGACTTGTAACTCTCAGTAGAGAAATCTGACCTTCCAGCAGAGCTGTCATTACCACCACCGTTGGATGCTGCCACCCAAGTACTTTCCCATTGACAAGGTATTGGTGAAGGTATCTCAGGCATAAAGGTAGCTCCATAAATGACATTATTTTTTGTTTGGTTTCTCTTCAGATGAATGATGATTGGGAGGAGAAAGGGTTTAATGTTTAAAAGACACTGAGTAGTCATCAGGGACAATATCTTGCCACAAAAGCATCAATCAGTTCAAAACCTGATGCTCTGTTTTACTTAATTAATTTAAAATTCAGTCAATGTTGATCAGCCTTGGGAAGAAGAATTGCTTTGTCTGTGAAGGTAGTGTTCGATAGACTACACAGGCTTGGCAGAAGAGGGCTGCTTATGCAAACAAAACCAAGGACGCTCACGTATAAAGACTTTGCCATGGGGTTTTTTTCCTCCAAAACTCAATTTAGTGAAGATTAATAGAAGCCTGAGAACTCTGCTTAGATAATTTTTTAAAAGTAAGTGGAAGCTGCCAATCAGTATTTTTTTTTCCCCAATTACATTAATTCATGTTGGAAGTGATGTACATGTTGCTAAGAAAAAAGAAAGCTTTTATCTGGAGATTTCCTAGCAGTATAATGGGAAAGCTTTGATGTAGAATAACTCAAATAAGACCTATTATTTATGTATGTGAATATGAAAGTGTTTGTGGCATATATCAAAACTGTTGAAAACTAGAGCTGAGGGGACTCCATGAA